TCAGCTATTGCCCAAACCATTCCAACCCTGAGGAGAGGCAAAGCTGGGCTTTTTTATACAATTGTGAGATATAGGAGGATGTGCAGAGTTACACAAAGTTTGTTACAGTGAGTGGTCTTGCCAGTGTTTCAGTTCTTTGTTCTTTGAGGCTTGGGAAGTTGATTGAGGGGAGTCTAGGCATCGAGCTAGATGTAGGATGTCATCGGGGAGTGGTAACCAAGCTGGGTCAGCATGAACTAAATCATAAATCTTAACAAAATATATCATTGAGGTGTATATTCTCAGAACAAGACTATTTAAGTGGATTCCTTATTATTAACATAAACTGCTATTACTAAATAACTTTTTTATTACTGTAAGCGTTTGCTAGCTACTACAATACCAGTCTCCATTTTGGCTCTACTAGCCAGGTGTCTTAACTGTCTAGTATTGCTATAACAGAAATACCACAAGTGGTTGGCTTTCACAAATTGAAACATATTTTCCCACTGTTTAGGATGCTAACAGCTGAATTCATATACTGCTGAATTGTAGGGGAAGGCTCTCTTTTTGGTGCTCAGCAAAGGTCCTTGACCCTCTTTAGAATCTGTCCTTTGGTGATCTTCATGTGGTATGACATCCATCTTCCCTCATTTCTGCACTTTTCTGTACCAAATATGCTTGCTTTTCAGATCAGAGATATAGAACCCACCCTATACTGATATTATCCCTGTTCCCAAATGGGATTATATCCACAAGCATGTTGTTAGATTCTGTTGAGTTGATTATGACTCACTGTGACCATAGGAACAAAAAGATCTACACCTTGCCTTGTCCTGCGCCTCCATCACTCTCTCCAGTATGCTCAAGCCCATTGTTACATTCACTGTCTCAATCCATCTCGTTGAGGGTCTTCCTCTCTTTCACTGACCTACCTTACCCAGTGTGTTATCTTTTTGCAAGACTGGACCCTCCTTGCCTCTAAGGAACACCCTCGTTGCACTTAGTCCAAGACAGACTTACTTGTTCTTTTTGCAGACCATGGACTATTCAGTGCCCTTCATCAGCACCACAGCTCAGTCTTCTTATTTGCTGTCTAACTTGTAAGATGCATATGAAACAATTGGAAATGCCATAGCTTGAATCCATGGTTCACTTTACTCTTCAAATCTTTAAGCCTTTATCCTTCCTCCTCAGCAGTTGGGTAAGTTCTTGACAACAGATGTACTCAGTACAACACATCTTTTGATTTCTTTACTGCTGCTACCATGGATGTGGATTGTGGGTCCAAATAAAATATAATTGTTGACAACTTCAGCCTTTTCTCCATCTGTCATGATGTTGCCTATTGGTCCAGCAGAGAGGATTTTTGTTTTCTTGGTATTGAGATGCATCTATACTGAAGACTGTAGTCTGATCTTTTTCAGTAAGTGATTCAATTCTTCTTGACTTTCTGCAAGCAAGGCTGTGCCATCTGCATAATGAAGGTGGTTAATGAGTCTTCTTCCAATTCTGACACCACATTCTTCTTCATATTACCCAGCTTCTTGAATGATTTGCCCAGTATTAAGATTAAATAGATACCGAGAAAGAATACAACCCTAGTAGACTTCCTGTCTGATTTTAAACCATGCACATATGGGTTAGGAATTATAGTGCATATTTTAGGGGACACTCAAATCCATAACTCCAAATATAAGGATTGTGATCTTATGTGAGATTTTGAAGTAGAAACAGAAAAAATAATTAAGGGAGAATGATGCTTCTTGAAGTGCTTGAAAATAGAGTGTAGGCCAAGTTTTTTTGTCAGGACACTAGGGAGAGACGTTGGAAGAGCAGAGGGGTCCAAGGACTGGCAGGCTTTGTGAGGTCAGAGAGCAGCAGGAAGAGGAGGAGGGTGAAAGGAAGCCAAAGAGAAAGGTTGTTTGTAATCTGTAGGATGTAGCAGTTTGAGATTGGGCAGATTAAACTCAGTAAATCTCTCTTTACTCACTTTCCCTTTAATGTTATGTAAAGTTGGTCTCACTTTGAACCAGCTCCTATTCATAATACTTTTATCACCACAGTTATCCTGCTGCAAATTCAGCTTTTAAATGATTTAAAATGCTTCAATCTTTTCTTGCACTAACTTAAACCCACTGCTGTTGATTCTATCCTGGCTCATAGAGCAACCCTCTAGTACAGAGTAGAACTGCCCATAGTTTCCAAGGCTGTAAGTCTTTATGAAAGCAGACTGTCACATCTTTCTCCCATGGAGAGGCTGGAGGGTTTGAACTGTTGAATGCTTAATGACTGCACTACCAAAGTGCTAAACTCTTGTCTCCCAGTGGCTTTTTTTATTCATAGTGACGCTATAGGACAGAGTATAGCTGCCTGATAGGGTTTCACAGGCTATAAATCTTGTTTTGTTACTCTTACTGGTTTTTGTTCAATCATTCATAAACATTTTTTATAACAACAGTTATAATAGACTGGTGCCATGTATTAAAACATCTCATCAGATTCCCACTCTACCTCACCTTTCCCTTCACCCTACCTATCCATCAACTAATCCGCTGACCTGATATTTGCCCCTTGTCCCCTTGTCCCCTTCCTCCTTCTTCCTTTCTCCTCCTCCTCCTCCCCATTCAGTCAGTTGTGCATGTCCTGTTCCAAATTGTTAATTGCAATACATATGTTGTCTATTCACCCATTCATTCCAGGTTGATCTTACCTTCCCCTAATCCATTACAGTGTCCATTGTCCGTTCTGTTTCTGCTTTCCTCATCCCCTCCCCATAGCCCTCAAATTGTTATAAAAACGATCTTATTAAGTGTTTGTTCTTTTGAACAATGGCTGAGTTATTTTATCCAGCATAATATCCTCTACACTTGTCCATATTGTGTAGAATGTCGTGAGTTGTTCATTGTATTTTAATTCAGCATAGTTTTCTATTTATGAATCCTATTTATAATTATCAGACTTTTTCTTGTTGAGGTCCTATAATATTTTATACATTTTAATTATGAGTCCCTTATTAGAGATGTCATTGCCAAATATTTTTTCCCATTCGTGGGCTTTCTCTTTACCCTTTTGGAGGAGTTTTTGAATGCACACTAGGATTTGATTTTTAGAAAGTGCCATTCATCTATTTTATCCTGTTCTGCTTGTGCATTTTTGTTTACATTTCAAAGTCTACTCATGCCACTAGGGCTTCTAAATTTGTTCCTTGTTTTTTTTTATTTTTGCTAATGATCTTTATTGTTGTTGTTTATTGCCGTTGAGTCAAGCACAACTCATATCGACCCTATGAACAAAAGGCCTGAAGCCTTTTTATATCTATCATCGTTTCTCAAAGTTCATAGAGTTTCCAGAGGCATGCTGTTTAGGAAGTGGATGCCACTCCTGCTTCCAAATGATCTGTTACAGGTTTTGGTTTTACTCTGAGGTCCCTGATCCATGTAGAATTGATTTCTTTGTGGGTATGAGATGTGGATCTTGTTTCTATTTTCTGGCTATACCAGCATCATTTGTTAAAGTGTCATTTCCCCAGTTATTGAATTTTGTCTCCTTGTCAAATATCATTTGACTGTAGATAAATGAGTTGATTTTGGGGTTCTCAATTCTGTTCCATTAGTCTGTGTATCTGTCATTGTACTAGTACCATGCTATTTTGATTACTACGGTTGTGTAGTAGGTTTTGAGATTAGGGAGTGCAATGTAAGGCTATACATTTTTATAAAAGTAGTGTCATCTTCATTCCACTGAGAAGTTGATGGACTCACACCACTATTCTTGAGGTCCACATCTAAGCATTTTTTTAATTAATTTTAATGAAAGTTTACAGAGACTTAGGGTTTCCATTCATTCATTGTTACACTTTTCCCTGTCAACCTTCTTCCCCCCAATTCACTCTTCTCCTTGAAAAGTAAAAGAAAAACTCATTGTCATGCAACCCCTCCGCCAAGTCCACTCCACTATGCAGCCTTCATTCTGGACTCCTGTCATGACAATAATACCTAATCAAATATCCCCTCTAAACTGTTCCCTCCCTCATCTGTTTCAATGCAGTATACATCATTCCTCCCCTCCTTCTCTGTCTTCCCTCAACCTGATGTCAATCCCCTTTTACAACAATGGCCATATGCAGTATTTGTCCTTTTGTGACTGAGATATTTCACTCAGCATAATGTCCTCCAGGGTCACCCATTTTGCATGATATTTCACGAGTTCCTTGTTTTTCAATGCTGCATAGTATTCCGTTGTGTGAATATACCAGAGCTGCTCTGTTCATTCGTTTGTTGATGGGCACTTGAGTTGTTTCCAGCTCCTTGCTATTGCGAACCAAGCCGCAATAAACATGGGTGTGCATATATATGTGTGGGTGGCATTTATGGTTTTTATAAATTTGTAAATTTTTTTTCCCATTTATAAATTCCCAGTAGTGGAGTTACTGGGTCAAATGGTATTTCTGTTTGCAACTTTTTGAGAAAGTGCCATACAGCCAGCCTTCCAGCTGCAGTGCTGGAAATGCTTCTAGCTGGAAGTTGTCTGAATCCAGATGTGGCATCTTGGTACTCATAAGTGTAGGTCACAGGACCAACAGCACTGACATCACCAGAGAATCTGTTAGAAATATAAAAACCCATGTCCCACCTGACCAACTAACTACATGTTAACAAAATTCCAGATATGTGATATAGACACCAAAGCTTGTGAAGCACCTTGTTAGATACTGAAGTCTCTTGGGATGATGAAGCTTATTAACAGTTGTCAAAATCTGTAGGGAAAAATTAGTATTTGGTATTGAAAAAGCAGAGGAAGCAGAAAATGGTGTGACCAAATGGCATGGGCTTCATTCAGACAGAAGGGCCCAAAGAAGGAAGAGCAGCGTTATGTAGCTGGGAGGATACTGGTTCACTTCCTACTCTGTGATCCAAGGGATGGGAGCAGCTAAACAACCCAGTCCCTTCCTTTCCTGTCTACTTCTATACCTCTCTCAGAGCTAAGTTTCCAGGTGCTTGCTTTTTTTTTTTTTTCAGGTGGGAGGAGTTTACTCTTACGACTGTAGTTTTGGCCATGTGCCCAATGTGGAATTGATGAAGTTCATCGCAATGGCAACATTTGGCTCCTACCTCTCTACTTGTCCTGAGCCAGAGCCAGGCAACCTCGGTCTGACTGTCTACCACCGGGCATTCCTTCTCTATTCCTTTCTCCGCAGTGGGGAAGCCTTGAACCCTGAATATTACTGTGGTGAGAGGCAAGGATGGGCTGGATGTGGGATGGCAAAGAACATAGAATGTGCCCCAGAGATTATATAGGAATTGGCTAGGGTTTGGGTCTGTGCAGAAATGAGAGTATAAATAACTTGTTGTTGAGTACCGCTGAGTTAGAACTGACCTATAGCTGACCCTCCAGTGGGTTTTCAGAGGCAGTAAATTACATGAGAGGAGATCCCATGGTTTTCCCTGCAGTGCAGCTGGTAGTTTTAAAGCATGTGCCTTAGCATTGACAGCACACCTCCTTACCACTAGGCTGCCAGAACTCCCTCAAGAATAATTGTTGTTGTTGTTTGCCTCTGAGTCAGAACCAACTCATAGCTGACCCTCTACTGGGTTTTCAGAAGCAGTTAGTTAATTGCACAGGAGAAGATTTCTCATTGGTTGTTCTCACACTGTTATTTCATCATTTAATATAGTCCCCTCCTCCCACATATCTGTCAGCTGAAAAATAAACAGCCTTCTTTTTCTCATCTTCACTGGTCTTTAGGCTCTCAGCATCGCCTGTTTAATGAGCACCTGGTCTCTGCAAGCAGCAACCCTGCCTTGGCCCTGCGCCGGAAGAAGCACACTGAGAAGGAGGTACTAGCCGACTTGGTCAGCACTGTGTCTGTGCGGCTCCGAGAGGGCTACAGTGTTCGAGAGGTCACGCTGGCCAAAGGTAAGGGTCTCTCACAAGTCACCAAGAATTTTGTGTGTGGAGAACCTGCTGAACAAAGAATGGAGTCACACATGGACCACATGGGAAAGAGTGTCTCCATTGAAGGGCCCTGCTTGCCATACAAGACACATCACCACTGAGTTGCCCTTAAGGTGGAGGTCCCTTAGCACTTAGCCTCCCAATTCTATTTCCTCCTCACCTGGTGTCAGTCAGCCAGGGGTAGTATGGTGTCCTGTTTCCAGATTACTCCTTCCCACTTCTGTTTGTATCAGTTAGCAGAGTCTAGTCCTGAACTCTGTAGAACCATGTTTGGAACCTTTGGCCAAGCTAGAGTACCACGAGATAGAGGGAGGTTTTGGCCAGGACTCAGTCTCAGGCCTGGAGTCCTGTGTCTTCTTCCCCTAATCGGCACTCCTGTTACCCCTGAAGGAGGCTCCCAGTTGGAAGTGAAGCTGGTGCTGCTATGGAAACATAACATGCGCATTGAGTATGTGGCTATAGCACCCTGGCCCTTGGAGCCTGAGGGCCCTCGAGCAACACGGGTGGAAGTGACCATGGAAGGGGGCTATGACATTCTGCACGATGTGTCCTGTGCCCTGAGGCAGCCCATTCGCTCATTGTATCGCACCCACGTGATCCGCCGCTTCTGGAATACACTGCAGAGGTGGGTGAGGGCACCCCTCATTGAGTGATGCCCATATTTGTTTGGAGGAACAGATTTATGCAGCTTGGAGCTGAGGAGAGTCACTAACCACACCAAGCTGGGGCCAGTGTTCCATATTTCTTTGAGCTTTGAGAAGATTGGGGTGCCCTTTCTGTACTTGCCAGAGTCTGGCATGGCTCAGGGTTGCCCCTTGTTGTACAGCATTAACCAGACAGACCAGATGCTGGCCCACCTTCAGTCCTTCTCCTCGGTGCCAGAACATTTCACACTTCCTGACAGCACCAAGAGCGGAGTGCCGCTCTTCTACATCCCTCCTGGCTCCACTACTCCGGTGAGTGGCTCTGGTTCCCATTGTCCCCATGGCTTCCTGCACACACTAGGCTTGGCACACCATTTGGGCCCCAGGACCACCTTGTGTTTCCTTCCATCCCAAGTCTTGGGCACCCAAACCGGAACACTTAAACATTATCAGCCTTGTGAGCATCTGTCCTTGCTGCTCCCAAGCCCCTGTGAGAGGATCTGGAGAGAGAGGCAGGTATCATAGGTATCAGAAGTAAAGACTTAGAGGCTACCTGGATTATGAAATCCTGGTGAACCGCAAGCTTTTTCACCCCTTCCTCCTTGGTCCACTTTGGCCTCTCTCACCACTTCCTTCACCTGTTGCCAGCGACTGTCTACTGGGCTGTGGACTCCTAAAGACTGGCTTCTCTTTTTCTTGTGCTTTCCCCAAACTCAATCCACTTACTCAGCTGCTAGCCTGTCACTGACATAAAGTGGTTTATGCTGGTGTGCAGTGACATGACAAATTCCTGGCATCACTGAACAGGTTTTTTAAAGGGTTTCACGGTCTGTCACTGATCTAGTCATTATACTGGAGGCAACATTTTGCTTCTGTCCTAGGTTGGATTGTAGGTTCTTTCAGATCTAAGCAATGGCCATTGACAGCCCCTGCCCTCATCAGGGTCTGCCTGAGGCTCTGAAGGACGTGCCTTGTTTTTCCATGGTTACTCCTCTAGGACTGTCCTTCCTATTCCTAGGTGCTGTCCCTCCAGCATAGTGGTTCTGACTCATCACATGCCCAGTTTGCTGCATACTGGAAGCCAGTGCTGTCCATGGATGCGAATTCCTGGCAGCGTTGGCTGCACATGCATCGCCTGGTACTTATTCTGGAGCACGATACGTGAGTATCCTCTTTGGGCTATAATTGGAATAGAGGAGGAGGGCACAGGAAATGATGAGAATGGGAAACAGGAAAAGGCAGAGCTGATAAGCCCTTGTTAGACCTTAGTCTAAGAAAAGCTATAGTTCTTTCATAGTCTTCTGCTCATTAGCACCAGTAGCCTCAGGGGGGACCTACAGAGACCTCATAGTCTGTTCTTGTCCAAGACTAAGGCTAGAGAAGCCTGACTTTAGCCTGCACCCCTCCCCAGACCAATCCCCAAGCACTTGCACACGCCAGGCAGCAATGGACGCTACAGCACTGTACAGTGCAGGATCTCCCATTCCTCGCTGACCTCTCTGCTTCGGGACTGGAGCAGCTTTGTACTAGTAGAAGGCTATTCTTATGTCAAGCTGCTTTCCAGGTAGGCAAAGTGAAGACCCCTCATTGTTCTGCCACTTTATCCCATCCCCTTCCTCTAACCCCAGACACCACCCCTACTTCCTCAAAAACCAATGAATTCTTAACTTAAGGATGCTTACTGGCTCCCACTTCTCCCCAGCGCCCCAGACCAGCCCCCCTCTTCCTTCTACATGGTCCGCATCATTTCCAAGGCCCCATGCATGGTTCTGCGCCTGGGTTTTCCCATTGGCACATCAGCGCAGGCACGACACAAGGTAGGCTGAACCCTGTCTCAGTCTTGAACCAAGGAGCGTAGACTACCTTCCTCTCCACCACCTGTAGGGCCAGGTCTAGTAGAATGAGGAACCCCCAGACCAAATAAAACTTGGAGGTGAGAAGTCTCACCTTTCTATGTGCCCCTTCTCCCAGACTGTGCAAAAGATTGGAGAGAATCTGATTCCATTTTTCTCACAGATTGTGTCAGACTTGCAGGAAGAGATCCTGCAGTTACGTTTTCCCCACCGAGTACAAAGCAAAGAGCCAACACCTAAGGTGAAACGAAAAGGGCTGGGGTGCTTTGGTGGGGGCACCTCTCCCTCCAAGTCACCACCCACGCTGGGGCCACAGCAGGCCCTTTCTGACCGGCCCTGCCTTGTGGTCCTGCATAAGCCACTGGACAAGCTACTCATCAGGTTGGTAGAGGATGGGAATGAGGCCTGAGAGCACATGGAGGGTTGTAGCTTAGCTGTCTGTAAACAGAGATCAATTGATGAGTTGCCCTATTTCTCAGGTATGAGAAGCTACCACTGGACTACCGGGCACCTTTCTTGCTGACACTGGAGCCACCAGGGCCACTGCCCTTGGTGTCGGGCCGTTCAGCCTCTTCCAGCCTAGCTTCACTGTCCCGCTACCTCTACCATCAGCGCTGGGTCTGGAGTGTCCCATCAGGGCTGGCCCCTGCCCTGCCCCTCAGCGCCATCGCCCAGCTGCTCTCCGTCCTTACTGAGTACGTCACCTGAACCTGCCAGGCAACTTTGGATACAGAGAGAGTGTGTGTGTAGACTCTGGCAAAGAACACTTCCTTCCACTGTCTGAGCACTCATCTCTTTGCTACTGCGGTTGTGCCATGTATTCGACACAGAGCTGTGCATGCTGCTGCCCTTCCCTCCTGCCCATCCCCTAACCTCTTTATTATGTTGCTATGTGCACTTGTCTCAGAAACAACCCATAGCTGACCTTCTAGTTTTCAGAGGCCATAAATCACATGGGAGGAGATTGGCTATCTTTCTGTCACAGCTGATGATAGCACCAGTCCTTACTACTAAGCCACCAGAGCTCCCTAGATCAGTGAAAGTCTAGGCTGCTTGCTAGCAGACGTGAAGGGCAGTCTGTATTCTAATGGGTCTCCCCTTCACTTCCCCCATCTCATCCCATCTCTGCCTCTACCCCTTTGGGGCTTCAGAGTTCGCCTGTCTGAAGGGTTCCACTTCGCCTGCAGCGGGGAAGGAATCATCAACATGGTCCTGGAGCTTCCAATTCAGGTATGTGCCATTTCCTCTAACACTTCCCCACTGAGACCTGTAATAATCCCATGAGCGCTCACCTCTGAGCTGAGTTGGGACTATTGGAGATTCTACCTCACAGGCACTATGTGGCCAGAGAACTCAAGGCCTGAGGCCAATCACAGGACCATATGACAAGGAGATTAAAGTCTTAGGAGCCAGGGCATGATCATCCCAGATCTCTGCATTGACTGGAGTTTATTCAAGATCTCTCATCTTACCCATAGAACCGACTACCTGGGCAGGCTGCCACTGAGGAGAAACACACATGTGTTGTCCAGTATATCCTCTTCCCCCCGCACTCTACCTCCACCAAAGACAGGTGAGAGCTGATCCCTTCCCGAGCCCTGTCTCTCCAGAATTCGTCTTCTCTCCACTGTCCTCCTTATCCTAAATTCTGTCTCCCATATCCTAAGATTATCTTGGTCCCAGAATCAAAGGAAGTTGCTGATATTAGATGTTCCTTGGGCCAACAATGTCACACTCTGGCTGCATTCTCTGCCTGCCTCCCATCCGTCCCTCTTGGGGCTAACTTTCTGCCATGAGCATGTAGATTGGACTCTCTTCTGCCCCAAGCTCAGAGACTTTCCTCCTGTAGTTTCTCAACAGATGATGACAATGATGTGGAGGTGGAGGCTCTGGAAGGAGACTCAGAGCTCAATCTAGTCACAGAGGTCTGGGTGGAACCACAGTGTGGGTACGTGGGACCTGGCCCAGAAAGCTGGAAGCACCTCCAGGACTTGACGTATCCTGAGATTCCTCAGGCTGTGAGTGACCACAAAACACTGCACTACCCCCTAACAGATTGGAGTGTCTTCTCCTTTGAAGTACCACACACATTCTGTGGGTGTCCTTGGGCCTCTGCATGTCTGTATTCTGAATATCTGTTGACTGCATGAGCTTTCCTTGAAACTGAGGTCTGGGCCCTCTGGGCTAGGTAGGGGTGAGTCCTGACCTCTGGTGTTTACCTCTTAGCTGCACCCCAGGGATGCTGCTTGCATAGGCTCCATGCTGAGCTTTGAATACCTGATACAGCTGTGCCAGAGCAAGGAATGGAGTCCTCTACCCCCAGAGCCAAGGCTTTCTGACGGTCAGTGTGAACGGAGGCCCACTGGGTGGGGCATGGAGGTAAGGAGGGAGGGGGCAGCCACAGCAGCTAAGCCTGGTCTGAATACATGTCCTAGCCTCTTTCCCTCCTAGGGTTGAGCCAGGAAGGGGACACCTGTGTTCATGAGATCCCTTTCCATTTTGACCTGATGGGATTGTTACCACAATGTCAACAACTCCAGATGTTCTTCCTTCTCCTTTGCCGAGGTGGGTAAGCTTTATGCCCACTCATCTCGTGCTTGGTGGGCCAGCATGCCTGGGACAGTTAGAGAACAGATGAGTCAGTAGATGAACAAGTGAGTGATGGGAAAAGAGAAAGCAGAGAGGCTGGAGAGGTGAGGCATTGCTGGTGAGGGCTAAGCCGGGGCAGTGGGCAGCAGAAGGCTCTTGGTGCTGAGCAGAGTGTGTGTCGGGCAGAGCCAGAGGGTGTCCCTCCCGCCGAGGGGCCCTGTCCCGCCAACGACATGGTGCTGTGCCTGCTGCACAGCTGCCTGGGCCAGGAGCTGAGTGACCGGGAGATCCCACTGACCACCACTGACCAGGCTGCCTTCTTGAGTGAAGTGCTGCAGAGGACCGGCCATGATTCAGGTGAGCTTATGCCCACCTCTTTTCTAATAGCCGACTCTGGTCTAGCCCCTTTCCCCAGCCTACAGTGGTTTCTGCCTTTGGATTTTGCCCTGCCTCTCTTGTGACCCTGCCCTTATCCACTATCTCCACCCCTTTCGTTCACTGTAGGTCCAGAGGGTCTGACAGTGGAGGGCCATGGAATCCCCCAAGATCAAGCGGTCAGCAGTGCCTTGACCACTGAGCCCTCAGCGTTCCCCTTTCTGGTCAGTACTCTTTCTTCTGGAGCCCTTTTTGTACCACCCTTGTTACTAAATGCCTACTGTCATTTCCCTTTGTTCTGCAGCTTTCAAGGTGTAACTAATGTTAGACTTCAGAGTGGAGGAGAAGGTGGGGGTTGAATGTTCTTTTATCAACCGCTTTGAGTTTCTGTCTCTTCTTGCAGAGTCTAACTTCTGAGCCTCTCATCCCTACCCAGCCCCTTCAGTGGCGCTGCTATGCAAGACTTGTGAACCCTCAGCATGTATTTCTGACTTTTCTCCCAGCTGCGTTCTCAGGTACCAGTTGCTCACCTCCCTTGCTAACTCTCTCGGTTGCAAACTCTTAAAAAGGCTCTCACTGGCCCACAAGATGGCTCTGATATATGTCCCTCTTTTCAGATGTCCAGCATCTGGCAGCCTACGGCCTGACGGGACCTTCTCAAGAGGATACAAAGCCTAAGTTTGGAGATTGGAGTGGGGCCTCCAGCCTCAAAGACCTGGGCGGAACTGAGGTCAAGACTACAAAGCCACAGGTTCCCATCCTCAGTGTAACCCCAGCCAGTGGTAAGGCTGCCGAATCTTTTAAACTGGTGAAGCAGGAGTGGAAATAGGGAACCCGTAGAAGGCCCGAGACCATGTAACACCTCTTGCCCACAGACAATGTGCAGAATCAAGGAGAGCTAAGCCCACCCTTCCGACGGGACTTACAAGTTTATACTGGACGTCAAGCTCCCCAAAACGAGGGTGCAGATGGGCCTCGAACTCGATGTCCTGTCTACATCTATAGCTGTTCCTTGGAAGCACTGAGGGAACAGATGGTTGGTATACAACCCCCTCAGTTACCTCGAGACCTCATCTTCCGGTGAGTGCCCTTCATGTTGACTTATGTTGACCCTTAACCATAGCTCCTGGCTAAGGCTTAGCTACACACTAATGGGTCTGAGCAGACAGGTTGACTTTTATTGGCAGGAACTCAGCTTTGTAGCTGATTTCTTAACATATTCTTAGCTTCTTAACATGTCCTGTTGAGCATTTGTAGGCGAATCAGTTGAACTTGCTTGCCCCTGAGTCCATTTGTCAATGATCTGTGGATTAAGCATCTGTATGTGGGTGGATGATGGGTCCCAGCTATCAGTTAGAGGAGTTGGCCAGGCTATATTTTCCCTCCCATGCCTAGGACTCAATTCCTCGACCACTCCTCCCCATCCTCAGCCTGGGTGGAGCCCAGGTACAAAGAAGCTGCTAACCACTGTGCCTTGCTGCAGGAGCATGCGCAGCGATGCTATGTCCGAGGTGAGCCGGAAGACCATGGGAGGGGGCTTCAGGGAGGAGTGGGGCCCCGGGAGGAAAGACAAAGGGATTGTAGGGATGGGGACTAGACAGGCTCTTCCAGATCTTGATCCTGATTGCCCCTCCTGCTCTTCCAGGGCTCTTCCGGAGCTTACAGCAAGCACAGAGCGTGAACTGCCAAGACTTGCTCACAGCAGTGGATGCCTGTGAGGAGCTGCTTCAAGAAATAGACATCACCCCCTTTCTGCTCACGCTGTGTGGCCACACTTGGGGTTTGCCTCTCGCACCCCCAAGCCCTGGTCCTCTCAGTCCTGGGCCCTTCAGCAGCAGCATTGAGGAGGGCCCTGAACCTCGGGAGCGAGCCGTCTTAGCTTCTGAGTCCAGGTTAGGATTGTACTGGAATGACGTGAAAAGGGATATCCCTGTATCCAGTCACCTTCCCGTCGAGGGGGAGGCGGTGTAAGACAATGCTGAAGCACCAGAGAACAGCAGTGCTGTCACAGCTTCTTGGCTCCCACTCAGGCAGCTCTCTCCTCCTTGCATGGGAAGCCATCTCCCGCCAGGATCTGCCTCCTCCCCCTGTCTGGGTTTTAAGTATTGAGCTGGGTTGGTGGAGAGAGTTCGAACTTAGCAGTGGTCACAGAGAAGCTTGTTCCTAGGATGTGCAAATAATAGCTAACAACTCCCCCAGCATTTTGTGCGTTTTCATAGGAACAAGAGCTGTATATTTTGAGCTCCCTGCTTACTTTAGAGTTGCCACACATCCCTGTTGAAAGGAGGAATGTAGAGGGGGGGGAAGCAAGCAGGAAGATGGTTATTTATCTAACGTTGACATTATCTAGCATTGGGAGAAACAGAAGAATCATAGGGTTGGGTATGCTGGTGGCTCCTAGATTGGAATTCCAGCCCAGTTCCCTCTCTGAAGCTCTAGGGCTCCCCCAATCGGTGCACCTTAAAAATGAACACATCTTTTTATCAAACCAACCTTTGTTCTCCATTCATAGTGAGCAATGTCACCCCACCACCCAGTAGTCCAACTCAGAAAGCTAGGAGTCATCCTGACTCATGGTTCTGTTTGACAGAAATATCGAGCCATTAAAAAATGGGGAAGTTGGAGCCGGAATGTGTGGGTTTGTTCTCCCTACCTCTGCTGCCTCCTGTGGTGTGTGCTGAACACCCGTCTTAGAGACAAAGGCAGGTGTGGGCTGGAAGCGGGCTCCTCTGGGACTTGTTCTTAACTTCAGCACTCTTTTTCCCAACCACTCAGCATTGAGACTGAGGACTTAAGCGAGCCTGAGTTCCCGAGCACTCGTGTCTCTGGCCATCTAGACCCTGGCCCAGAGATCTCTCTGACAGACGTCTGCCAGCTCAAAGGACAGGCACATGATGCCCTTCATAACCTCATCCAGGTAGGAGACTGGGAAGAAGGCTGAGTTCTGTCTTGTGCAGGGAGACACTTCTCTCCTGAGTTGGAAGGTGTACAGGGATCTTGTTTCTGAGACTGGCTGACAGCCTTCTATCTCCCACACAGGAGAAGTTCCTAGAGATCAGCCGTCTCCACTTCCGCACAGTGCCCTCCAATCCGCACTACTTCTTCTATTGTCCTCCATCCAGCAGACGAGAGGTAAGTGCTTTCTTCTGAACCTCTCCCGTCTTCACCCCCCTGCCCCCTGATACCATGCTCAGCCTACCTGAATCTACTTGAATCCTGGTTCCCGTTCTTTGAGGCAAGGAGGCGGCTTTTATCCTGCCGTAAGTTGAGCGCTCTTTTTTGCCAGGATGAAGGCCCACATGACATAGGAGACAGAAAAGTCAGTGACCTGGAGTTCTCCGAGGCTGAGCTGGTAGGAGAAGAAGGTATGTTGAGCAAGGGGGCAGAGGTGGGGAAGCCTACTTCAAGCCAGAATTCAGGGGCCTGGCTGCCGAGCCCTCTCGGTGACCAATGTGTTCATCACTAGGAGACACATCTGCCTGCTGTGTGGCCACTGAGAGCGACCCAGAGCTGGAGGTGGAGTATCGTGAGAGCCGAGAGCCCAGTGTGGGACCCGCTGCACTGGACTCCACCTCGCTGTCTGATGCAGATACTGTGAACCCGGATGAAGATTCCTTCAGTATCCTGGGGGGCGACTCACCCACTGGGCCAGACACCCTCATGCATGATCTGCCACCACTCTTCCTGCACCTCACATGTTCCACACGGCTGCGGGGCCAGCACAGCTCCGTTCCTGTGAGCAGCCTGCCCACCTGCTTGGGTAAGAAACTGTGGTGCCCAGAAGGGAGTTCAGAGGTTCTGGCCCACCTTGCCTACCTCTGTGGTGGTAGAGGCATCACTTCTTTAGAATTCAGAACTGGCCATCTCTGCTGAACACTAGACCCTCCAGCAACTTCCAACTTTTCCCGCACCTAGGCCAAGTGCTTTCCAGCCTGGAGGGTCCCCCCGTTGGAGGTCGAGTTCCCCTCAGGGACCTCAGTATCACTCTGGATGTCTTCATACTGACTTTACCCCTAGAAGTGGAACTTCCCCCAGCCTCAGACCCTCAGCACCACCGGTATGGCAGCAAGAGTGATGGGGGAGGGGGTAGTCTGGGACTTTGTTGGGTTGAAGGCAACATTAAAGGAATTGAAGGCATTTGGGGACCAAGAAGACCTTAAGGGCCCCAGGTAATGATGAGGAGGCCCTGGTGGATAGTAATTGCTGACCTTTGACTTATTCCCCCCTTTCAGTTCAACGTCTGAGAGCAGTGCTTCTTTCCCACGATCCCCAGGGCAGCCATCATCTTTAAGGTCAGATGATGGCCTAGGGCCCCCACTGCCACCCCCAGGAGAAGAGAGGTACTTCCTTATAGTGCTTTCTGCATCTTGCTTCCCCTCAGTTTTATTTTCTGGGAACCAGTATCTAAACCTTGCTTTCAATTAGGCACCCAGGACTGTCCACCTTGCCTGCACCACACAGACTAGCAATTGAGACCACCATGAGTGAGGTGAGAGCCTTCCCTCCCCCAAAGCCCAACTGACACCACCCCCCAACACTGTATGTGATACCCTTTCTATCATCTGAGTGATTATGTGATCTAAATGAGGACTCCCTCGGTTTATGAGGAAAAGTGTCTTGTGATATTGGAGTGAGGGGATGCCCCAGTGAGCAGGGAAGGTGCGATCCTTGAGACTACTCTCCTGTACCCTGCACCCTTGGTCACTTTCTGGATTATCCACTAACTCTAGATCCGCTGGCTGTTGGAGGATGAGATGGTGGCAGCACTCCGCAGAGGGACCCTCCCCCAAAGCCCTGCCCTGCATCGGGCAGCTGCCCACATCCATAGCTCTCCTGGACGTTCCACCTGCCTTCGCCAGACTTTGCCATTGAGTTTTGTGTTTGGGCCAGAGCGTTCCCTCACACAATTCAAGGAGGTAAACAGTTCCCAGAGCACCCCATGGTTATCTGGATTCTGGACACAGGTCTGGAACTCTCTGAATTCATAAAATTATGGACGCCTGAAAAAAAAACTTTATGGACGTCTGCTCCTTACCTGACAGCCCAATTCAGTGGATTAAGACCCATATTCTAATCTTGTCACTGGGCTTGTGCAAATGTAAAAAAATCCCCAACTCTTTGCCATAGGGTCAGAACTGACCTTCCTGCAGGTTTTGGAGGCTGTAAATGGCCAAGGATGAGATTACCCTGAGGAGCAGCTGGTAGATGTGAACTGCCAGCGAGGCAACACCTTTGGGTTAGCAGCACAGCTCCCTAGAGTCTGCAGAGCACCCTCATCAGCATGTCCCTAAACCTTCCCCCAGACTTTTTACCTGAGCAGTGGGTTGATAGTACTCCTTCTACCCAGCATTTGTGAGGTTTTCATGAGGAAGTGCGAGGGTGCCAGATGTATAAATGGATTTTTCTACTTAAACTATGATCTTGACTCCTGCTCCCCAGGAATTCCGCCGCCTCCATCTTCCTGGCCATGTTCTTCTTGAAGACCCTGACAGTGGCTTCTTCTTTGTAGCAACTGGTCAACAGCCAGGTGGGTCCCATGGGGAGCCCCCTCCAGCAACCTGGGCGTGGCACCGCCATGAGGATAGGGCTGAAGGCATCAAAGGGGAGGTAAGCCTTTCCTGGACTGACCTGGGAATGGAGGCTGATGGTTGTTGGTGTTATGAAGCCTATACCTCAGTTCTGACTTGTGCTTCTCAGACCGTGACAGCCAGCCCTCAAGCTCCTGGCTCCCCAGAGGATTCTGAGGGGCCTTCCGTCATCAGCCTGCCACAGGGAGGTAAGAAAGAACTTCAGCAGGAAAATCAGGGGATCATGACCAGCGACTCATGGGTTCCCGACCCTTCTCCTGTGGACTGAGAGAGACTCTTAAGTATTGTCCTTCTCCTTTCAGGGAGCCAGCCTGGACCCTGCTGGGGATTAAGCCTCATGTCCAGTCAGGGCAGTGTGGACTCAGACCAACTAGGTAGGCTTCAGGAGTGGTGGAGGTGAGAGTTTCTAAGTTGCTGGGGAATGGATTTAAGATTGGACAGGGAATGGAGTAGACTAATCTAGGGGGAAACCGTCAAAGCCTGATGCATGCAGAGGCTCATTTGAGTCAGGCTCTGTTCAGCATGGCACTGAATATCGTTTTTTACACAGGTTATGATGGTGGCAGCAGCGGCTCAGATAGTGAGGGTCCTTCTGAGACCCTTGGTGAGAAGGCCCCCTTCACACTGCGAACTCCACCTGGGCCAGCAACTCCACAGCCTTCACTCCCAGTGCTCCCTGGGCCCTGCCTGCCTGACTTTTGGCTCATTGTTCGTGTTCTGCAAGATCGTGTTGAAGTCTATGCACATGCACGGTAAGGAGAAGCCAAGCCGGTATTAACCTCTTTTCCCTGTTTTCACAACACCCATCTCTAGTGTTGTGAAAACATGATGAATTGCAGAGGGATCTAACTTGTATTTTAAGGTTAGATGTGCCAGATCACACTTCACTTACTTGTGGCAGGCTCTGGTCTAAATGGTTTGCATGGGTAACATCATTTAATCTTATAAAAACGCTATGAGATATCTTTTCTCTTCATTGTATTGGTGAAGAAACTGAAGCAAACCTAAGTTGACAACTCACCCAAGGTAACAGAAGTGGCAGAGCCAGCATTCAGACTTATGCGTCTGGCTACACACTGAGGGAGGCCCACCATTCTGACAAAGATTTGAGAATAAAGTAGGAACAAATTGCATGATAGAAGCCTCCTTATGATACATACATGGAAGCTGATTAAGTCAGCATAGAATCTAGGCTTTCAGAATTGTGCTGTCAAGTCAGAACCAACTCACAGGTGACCCTTTAAGTTTTCAGAGGTTGTAAATCACATGGGTTGAGATCGCCCATCTTTCTTCAGTGGAGCTGGTGGATTTGAACCACATGCCTTTGGGATGGCAGTGCAGCTCCTTACCTTAGGCAACCATAACTCCCTAGAAATTCCCTTTTTCTCACTTCCCATTAGATTTCCTTCCCTTTTTCTAATCCTGCCTCCTTTTCATGATTTCCCTTGCCCCCAGGTCCTATGACCAATAAACCCCCTGTACACACTTTCCCTAGGAGCATGATAAGGGAGGATGGAGGGCCGGGCACTGAGTGTCGTCACCTCCAGCAGCTCCTGGTGAGGCGAGTTGGAGAGATCTGCAGGGAAGTCAACCAGGTAAGGGGCACCTGGGACAAGGCTTTCTGGGCGTGGAGATTCAGCTCAGAAAAGGAAGGAGTTTCAGGAACTTAACCTTCATATACCATGGGTTCATCTCAGACTCAGCAACTATGGAATATCTTCTTTGACCCCCATAGATACTGGGGACTATGGAATATCTTCTTTGACCCCCATAGATACTGGGGTACTCCTCTAACTCCACAAACTGGGAAACTCTCCACTTCCATTTACAGTGGGTTACTCTCATGCCTCCCTGTAACTATCACATGTACTGGTAATTGCATCTGTCTGTTTTTGTTTGGCATTGTGCTAGCTTTGGGGATATAAAAATGAGCAGGGCAGAGAGAGGAGTGTGTGTGAGTGTGAGGGAGACATTAAACAACTAAACTACACAAAGTATTTCAACTACAGTTGGAAAATTCACCCCAAAAAAGTAGAAACTGTTAGGAGAATATCTAACAAGGATGAAATAAAATGAACTATCATTGAAGGCTTCTTAGAAGTAGTGATTTTTAAGCTGAGACAGATAGTAAACAGGTTTTGACAGAAAGAACAAATGTTCCTAATTGGGGTTCTGTCTTGGAGGCCTCTGCTCTATAACTGGGACATCCTCTCTGTTCTCCAGTTGATTGCTGAGGCACATTATGGCCTCTCCTCCCCAGTGATAATGAGTATTCTTTCTGCTTTTGCTTACCCCACATCACCACCAGCACTAGTTGACGAGGGATTATTTCAGTTCCCTGATAGCTAGCTCTTGCTTCCCCCAGCGACTGCTTCTTCAAGACCTTCATGACAGTCATGTGTGTAACTCTCTTCTGGTGGCTGAGAGTGAAGAAGATTTATGGCGCAGTGAGACCCCGTTCAGTTCCCGTCAGCGGATGCCACTGCCCAGCGATGGTGAGACACCCCCCACCCCCTTGTAGCTGAGGGTCCGGTTCCCCTTTCTCTTACCCAGTACTCGGTGTGAAAATAGAATTCTTTCTTGATCATTCTTGCCGAGTAATACATCGAAAAAGAGGAGGACAGAAAAAGGCTCATTGGATTGAGTCATTGCAAGTTCATCAGACTTTAGTAGTTTCATTGGAAAGATGAAAATAGAAACTGGATGAAACTGAAAAGTGGAAAGATGATAGATAGTTGGATCAGAGAATAACTACTTTCTCAAGTAGCTTGGCAGTGAAGAGAGAGAGAAAATAGATATGACTGTAACTAGAGGGAGATGTGGGGGCGAGGAGGAATTTTAAGTATGTAGAGATTTGAGCAAGTGTATGTTCCACAAAGAAAGTGCCGGTAGAGAAGGGAGAGTTGAAGAATACAGGAGAAAAGAGCTCTTTGAAGGTGCAGGGGCTGGAGACGGTGAACTGAGGTATAGTAGAAAGGTTTTCTGTGATTAGGTGTCCCCTCATATAGATACAGGACCTCACTAGGAGCTCTAATCATAGCATAGAAACTATGGTAATGGTAATCGAACTTTCCACCCTTCTGCTCCTTTTCTTTGACTCCTTATGACCTCTCACTCCAAATGCATGGAGAAAAATGCAAATCATGTCATTCCTTTGCTACTTTACCTCTGTTTTAAAATTAAAATCAGACCATTTCCTTATTTTTAACATTCTTAGCAAGTCTGTAGATGAACATTTTTAACGTTTCCAGGAGTGTATCTCTCACAGCACGTCCAGGCATGGTCTCCGTATCAGAGCAGAATCCCTATAATTAGTGGACTTCCCATGGTTTTGAAGGCATCTTCTGCAAATTGGAGATGAGTTAGGACAGCCAAGCAATTTTACTTCAGAACAACTCACAGCAGCCTGAGCTATGAGACTAGTCAGAACACAGCCCTTCCTCATTTTAGTCTCTACCATATGGCTTCCCGAAACCCTTAGCAACCAGCAACCCACCACGGAACAGAAGCTCTGCAGCCTCCTGGGTATCTGTAGGCTGCTCACACCCGACAGCAGCTTCTCTGGGACAGCACATTGCTACCTCTGATCTACTGGAAGGTTGCTTGCCAACCTGGGAAAGGTACAACATGGCACTCGCCGATGGCCGTGGGCTGTTGTGTACCACCATACCACCTTCTCTTTGGAAAGCTGTCCTCTGTGGCACCAGACTCAGCCTTCCCTTCTGATATGTGTAACAAGTTCTGGACATGGATGAGCTAATAGTTCCACAGACAAGAGTTACACCAGGATGAGAATCTCATGGCATTACCTGCAGGATTATGTCACACACAGGATTCCTGAGTCCCCTTCTTCACTCCTTCTCTGAATCTCTTTGAAATGGTTCTGAACATCTTCATGCTATTACCCTGTCTTTTTAAAGGAATACCTCCTAAGTCCTGGTACTGTCTTACTATCCAAATGATGATCTTTTCCCTACTCAAAAACTCATTGCCATCAAGTGGAAACTGACCCATAGCTGACCTTCCATTGGGTTCTCAGAGGCTGTAAATCACATGGGAGGAAATTACCCATCTTTCTCCCGAAGCAGCTGGTGGATTTGAACTACCAACCTTTAGGTTAATAGCACAACTCCCTGCCAATTATGCTACAGAGCTCCCCTGCAGAGTAGTAGACAGGGATAAGGAAGATGAAGATGGACTGATGGGCCAGGGTACAGGGGAGAGTTCTGGAGAACAGAGGGCTGTGCATCGGTTTTTTGATCCCTACTTTCCCTCTCTTCAGATTATGCTGGTGATGAAAGCTCTGCACCCCGAGGGTACCTAGCAGCCACAATGCAGTTTGTCCCTGGACATTTCTCCTGTGACGTTGTCTGGGGAACTGTGATTAGAGTCCACTCACGCCTCAAGATGGGGCCTAGCATGGGGGTTTCTCGAGGTACATGATGGGCATGAAGAGAGGGCAGGTAGAGCATGGGGAAGGGGAGACTCGTGATAAAGGAGTTTTCTGAGCCCATACCACCCCTGCAGCCATCCAGGCCCTGCGCTCTGTGCTCAACGCCTTCTCTGTGGTGAACCGGAAGAATATGTTTGTGTACCAGGAGCGAGCAACACAGGCTGTATACTATCTCCGGTACACAGGGCTTGGTGGGCTGGGGTAAACCATGAGTCAGGGGTGGCCTGGGAGGAAGGGCGTACAAAGACCTTGCTGCTCTCTTAGGCTCCTGGAGACGTCGTGCAGTGACCGGCCGTGGGAAGGGGATTCTGGGCCCCGTTCTCTCGCACTGTCCCGGAGCCAGGAGCCCATCTACCCTGAGGAGACCTCAGTGTGTATCCTCCCATTCTCTCATGACCCTTGCTTCCTCATCCTGGCTTTCTGGAATAGGCCCTGACCACATTTTCCCTAAAGGGCCCTCGTTCTCCGCTGGACATGGCTTCTAGTCGCAGTTCAGATGCCGCTCGTCCTGTGGGCCAAGTGGACAGACACATCCAGCTGCTGGTGCATGGTGTAGGGCAGGCAGGTAAGGACGGGGAGGAGGAAGACCTCAGAGGGGTTTGACCAAGTGAGGTTCAAAACTCCTGTGGCAGGTGCTCTTCAAGCCTCGGATCCCTTCTCCAGTCCCTCCTTTGCCGTGGGCTGTTCTCCAGGACAGACTCCTGCATAGTTAGGGGTAGGACATATTATTGCTATTATGTGCCCTGAGTCAGAACCAACTCATAGTTGACCCTCCAGAGGATTTTCAGAGTCTGTAAACACGTGGGAAGACACCGCCCATCTTTCTCCCACAGAGCATTCGGTGATTTTTTAATTACCTATCTTTGGCAGTGCAGCTCCTTACCCAAAGACCACTGGAGCTCATGTAGCTAATCAAAGAGCCACATGGGGAAGTTGTTATTGTTGGTAGGTGTCATCAAGTTGACTAATAAGATTCATAGTGCCCATATGGATAGCTACCCTGTGTCATCCAGTGACCTCTGTCCTGCTCCAACCCATGGCAGTGGTGACTGTGTCAGTTCATCTCGGTGAGGGTCTTCCTGTCTGTCACTGACACTTTCCTTGCCCAGCGTGATGTCTCTCTCCAACAGTATGCCCAAAGTAACTGAAATGCAGTTTCATCATCCTTGCCTCTAAGGAGCACTCTGGTTGCTCTTTCTCAAGGCAGACCTCTCTGTTCTTTTGCCAGTGCACAAGATATTCAGTACTTTCAGCCAACTAGTAATTCAAAGGCATCAGTTGTTCTTCGTCATCCTTATTCACTGTCCAACTTTCAGATGCATAGGAAGCAACTAAAATGCCAAAGCCTGGATCTGGCACACGTTTGTCTTTAAATTGACATTCTTGCTGTTTATAGAGTTTAAGAGAGGTCCTTGACAGCAGGGAAAGAGGAATCATTCAAATTGGCGCCTGATATCTAGCCTGGGTGACTGTGGCTAGATAATGGGATCCACTCACTTGATATCAAGGATGAATTTGGGATAAAGGTTCAGTTTGGGATATGTTGAAGCTGCAGAATACAGTAAACAGAGGAAGATGCTCAATAACATGGCTTGGCACCATGATTTCAGCAGTGGGCCTGAGCATGGCAGATACTGTGAGGATGGCACAGGATGGGGCAAGGTTTAGTAGTACATAGGTTCACTATGAGTCATAGTTGACTCTTCAGCACATATCAATAATACATTAGGCAGTTGAGTTTTTCAGCTAATATTAATCTGTATCAGACCTTTGGCTAAAAAAACTATTACATGATTTCTCTTTTTATTCTTAAAACAATCCTATGAGGTAGATGCTATGATTCGTTTTGTGGACAAAGTTATCAAGGCTTGGAGTGTAAAATCCAGTTGTCCACACTCACACAGTGAATAGTTTGACAGGACTAGAACCTAATGCCGGCTATCTCCTAGGTTGGCACTCCTAATGCTGCCTTCAGTGCATGGGGGAGTTTTAGGCAGATGGTAGCTAGAGCCTCTGCCAGTGCCTCCATCTTCCTGCCATGCCCGTGTCTAGGTCCTGAGATCACAGATGAACTAGTGCGAGTGCTACGGCGACGTCTGGATGAGGCCACACTGGATGTGATCACAGTTATGCTTGTTCGGAACTGCAAGCTCACACCAGCTGACGTGGAGGTAAGCTCCCTCCCAGGCTTCCCTCCAGGACTCATCCACAGGTGCTGGGGCAGTGGCAGCTGGGACTTTGGCATTCATCTCTGACTCCTTGTTCTCTGCAGTTCATCCAGCCCCCTGGAAGCCTCCCCTCTGAGGTGCTGCATCTGGCTCTGCCCCCCTCCTGCAGACCCTGGCTTCCGGCCCTGGCCTGGTACCTGCGGCAGAACCTGCTCATCTTCTTGCACTCTCCCAAGTACACAGACAGCAACAGCCAGAACCACTTCCAGGTGGGATTGTGCTCCTTTCTGTCTGTACTCGGGTATATGCTCATGCCTCCAACTCTCACACCCCTTTCCCTGTGGGACTGTGTTTCCTACAGATAATCCTGGAAGCACCTTTGCCCAAGGACTCATGCATCCACGCTTCACATACCTGTGACTTGCTGTTATTATTGTTGTTAAGTGGGTTTTCAGAGGCTGTAATTTGCATGGGAGGAGATTGTTTCTCTTTCTCCCAAGGAGCAAAGGGTGGATTTGATAGCACAGCTCCTTACCACTAGGCCACCAGAGCTACCAAATTCCCTCATCTCCTGCTGTGGATATGCACATCATAAAAACTTCCTCATCCCTTGATTTTTTATTTATTTATTTATTTTTATTTATGTTTAATTTGGTTGCCACTCATTGGCTTGATCTTAGATCTTTATGGCTGTTCTCTTCCCAGCATCCACTCCCACCACAAAGTGGCCTCCCTGACTTGGACATCTACTTGTATAACAAGCCTGGTGGACAAGGCACTGGGGGCAAAGGTACAGAGTAAGGCCCAGGCCCGTGGCCCTACCAGGTGTGGGCAAGTCTTTTCCTGTGTTGTGACTGAGAAGGCCTCTCCCAGCCTTGCACCTGAGCAGGGGCTGCAGAGAAGCCCTGGATCTGAAGTCCTGCGGCTGAGCTTCCGTGTGCATTTTTTTCCTAGGAGTTGCCTGCATCACTCTCGCCTTTGTAGATGAGGGAGGGAGCCCCATCTCATTGACGTCATGGTCTCCCACTTCTCCTGGGCCTCCTGAACCACTGCTAGAGGAAGAATTTGAGCAGCTGACCCAGGTCACACGCTGCCCAATCCTGCTGGACAGTTGTTCAGGTGGGCAGGTGTGGCAGAGCAAGGGGTGTTCAGTCAGTGCTGTGAGAGGTAGGGCTGATGAGTATGGGGATCCTAGGGGCACCCTCAGTTGATCCCTCCTCTTTCCTCCAGCTCAGACTGGGGCCCCACGGCTTCGGTTGGATGTGTGGGAAAAGGGAAATATCAGTATTGTGCAGCTGGAGGAAAAACTCCGAGGAGCAGCTCGCCAGGCTCTGGCTGATGCTGTCATGGAACTGCGCCTGTTGCCAGCTTCACTCTGTACAGAAGATACTCCCCCAGGTATGCAGGGCTGAAGGGTCCCCAGTGGCCAGAGGAGGAGAAAATCCAGGCAAGACTTTAGCAGGTTCACATATCTTCAAGAGGAAGAACCCTCGAACCAATGCTCATAAGAGTATATGGCATTTTAGGGCATTATTTTTTATCGTAGGAGTATGCAATGAGGGTTGTAGAGTGGATTATATTTGGGGCTAGGGGGTGGGGTTTGGGGAGGTGCGGGGGGGGGTTGTGTACCAATGAGGGAGTTTTTCTTTTGCTTTTCAAGGAGAGGAGCAAAGGGGGGGGGGAGGGGTTTGTGCGGGGAGAAGGGTGCAACAATGATTGAATGGAATCCCAAAATCTCTGTAGATGTTCACTGAAATGAAAAATAAACAACCTAAATTTTAAAAAAAAAAAAAGAGTATATGGCTGCAGGCTCACGTAGGGAAAAGGCTTGCCCTCCAGGAGCATGCAGTGGCCCACCATGGCTGGTGTGTAAGTTGGGTTGGCCACAGCAGCTGGGAAGAATCACACTAGCCTAGTCGACCACACTAGGGTCCTAGGCTGTTATCCTAAGAGCAGGGGAATCTCTGAAAGGTGTTAAGCAGGGTAGTGATATGGTGAGATGTATGACTGAAAGGCCACTCCCACTCCTGGGGGAGAGGTAGAGGTGGGGTTGGACGGGGAATGCTAGTAGAGGGAAGCCTGTGAGCATTCTGTTCCTGCAGTCCAGGTAGAACTGATGGGTCCTGAACTAGGGCAAAGGTAGTGGGAATGCAGGAGCAAGAGGTACACTGACAGATTCTTTGTGAGTAGAATTAATAGGATTTAGCCTCTCATTGAATGTGGGGGAAAGAAAAAGTAGTAATTCCTGTGAGAGAGTGTTGTGTTTTTCTAGTCTGGCCCCAAGGGACCGCCAGGTGGGAATTTATCTGAACTTGATACATAGCTGCATACATTTCTGCTCTTCTCTTCCACATTCCTGTCCCACTGCAACATCCACAACCCAAAGAGGCTTCCTGGCCTGAGGTCCCAGACCTACTGCTCTCCATTTATGGTCATCAAATATATAGGCCTATCAAGCACTTTCTGAGTCTGCATAAGGCAGTAGAGTCCCAGAGATTAGTACAGTCCAGTCCAGGGTGACCAGAGACCACGTTGGGAGCTGGAAGCATTAGGGAGACGCTCCTTCTGCTTGGTGGACTGGCTCTCCCCATCCACTTGTACGCACAAGTTGTGGTAAAAGGGAGGCGAGGATTAGAGTCTGCATTTTGCTTCCTCCTTCCTTGCTTCTGGCGCAGCCATCTGCTCCTCACATCCTTCTATTCCAGAGAGGGACCTTCAGTGAGACCCTCGTTTTCTCTCTCATTCTTACAGCCTGCTCAATGAAACCCTGTCCCTTTTGACTCAGATGTCACTTCATCCACCCCTCTCTGTTAAAGCCTTCATCAGAAATAAATACTTCCAATTGTCCAGTAGTTTCACTGTGCTTCATCAGTGACAAAAAAAACCACAACAAGACAGGCACTTGAGCTGGCCACACACTTAAGAGAATGATTATCTCAGAACCTCACATCACACCAACACAGCATACACACAGTCACATGCACTGACATTCATTAATAGAGTAAGTGGCAAGTAGTGCTCATAAGAGGCTTGAGGGTAGGTTGTCTGGAATGGAATTGATGGTCAGTGACCTGAGTCTTTAATTCTGCTGTCCACAGCAAGTCTCAGGAGTGGGTCATTGGAAACCAAGAGCCCTGCTGGTCGGGATGGTACCTTCCCGCCTGCCCCTGTGCCTGGGGAGCCTGTGACTCCACCCAGCAAAGGTGGCCGGCGCAGCTTCTGGGACATGCTGGTAATGGGGGAAATGATGAACTGGACACCTACTTCCTGCCTCCTGGATTCCCTTTATACGCCTCTCCTCCTCCCAACTCCTTCCTAGCCTTACTGCAGATCTCTTTATATGTGAAACCTTGCTATTCTTTAGACAGGAACTTGAACCTGACACAGGTCAGGTTCACTGATGAAAAAGCAGTTCAGCTTACTAAGTGCATTTGCTTCCATTTTCCTTATTGGAGCCTACAAGTTAGTGGGGCTTTGCCTACTGGAGGTGAGGCCCAGGAAAGTTAAGTCACCTGCCCTTGGTCTTCAGGGAAGCTAAGATTAAAACCCTGGACTATCATCCTCCTGTTCTTATTTCTATTCCATTAAGCCCCCATCCCAAATCTTCTACCCCTTTACCATTCCCAGTAGCCCCTTCTTATTCACTGTATTGCCCCCAGAGTAAAACAGAATGTGGGGATTTGGGTTCCCCCAAAACAACTGATGACATTGTACTGGATCGGCCAGAAGATACTCGGGGTCGAAGGCGTCACAAAACGGAAAATGTTCGAACTCCTGGTGGAACTGAGAGGGCACCAGGCCCAAATTCAGGAGCCCAGAGACAAAGGTGTGTATGTGTATGTTGCCCTGCTGTGTCATGGGGGAGTGTAGGAGTGTGGAATCCCAGAGGGAAGGTTTTGGTTTGTGTGCGTGTGAGGGTATCTTATTCCTGCTGTGTCCTCAGACGCCGGATAACACAGCTAGAAGAGGGTGAAGCGGGGACCCTGCATCCTGTGTTTGCTCACGTCTGTCAGCGCTGGATGGAGTTTATGGTTCACATTGGTGAGATCCCAGCCTCCTTGTCCATCCCTGAGCCCCTGCCGCTGCCCACCCTCTAGCCCCATAGTGCCATCCCTGCCTGCCTTCCAGGTTGTGCCTCAGTGTCCAGAAGCTCCACCCACATGGTGTCCCGGTTCCTCCTTCCATCCATCCTGTCTGAGTTTACCACTCTGGTCACCTCAATGGCTGGAGATACCAGTGTCCGAGTCTTTGAACAGCATTTGTGAGTTTTTGATCACATGGGATTACAGGGGCCTTCAGACATCCTAAAGTGGGCCTCTAGGAAGCTGAACACCTGGAGGTAGAGCTAGGAGAAGTAGGGACTAGAGCCCAGGAGATGAAGGCTGGGCCAGGGCCTGGGACCAGGGGATGGTCTGTGTAATATATGTCCCTGCCTCCCATTAGGGCTTCAGAATCCAACATTTTCAGCCCTTGCTCTCCTGGGCAGCTGGGCCCAGCTCCCCGTCCAGCTACTGAGCGGCATCTGCTGCTTCTGGGAAGGAACTTCTTGCAGTGGAGGAGACCAACCCAGCAAGGTGAGGCGTGAGCGGGTGGAGGATGCTTTTCGTTGCCTGACGGATGGTCTCTGACTCTGCAGAGGTGGGATGTAGGAGGCTCTGCCTCTAGTCCCCGATTTTCCACTTTTCCCACTTGTAGCTGCCAAAGCCGTGCAGCGCTTTGAGCCAGGAGGTGATGGGAGCTCTGGGCGGAATGCTCCCCGGCAGAGGCTCTTGCTATTGGAGGTTGTGGACAAGAAGGTACAGGTGGGGCCAGGGCTGGTGGGAAGAAGGGATTCTCTAATCTTACTGACTCTGACCCTTGACCTCCAGCTACAGCTGCTGACCTATAATTGGGCTCCAGACCTGGGGGCAGCACTGGGCCGAGCACTGGTGCGCCTCGTGCAGTGGCAGAACGCACGGGCCCACCTCATCTTCTGCCTGCTCAGCCAGAAGCTTGGACTCTTCCACCATTATGGCCAGTTAGACTTCCCAGTGCAAGATGAAAAGGTGCCCGCTGCTCCTGATCCTTCCTCTAGTTCTGTCTCCTGAGGGGTCAGTTAAAGGAAGGTACCAGCTCCGAAATGGGAGAGGGGACAAAATGGGAACAGAAGTAGTAAAGTGGAGTCAGGAAGCCATGGGGTCAGAGGGTCCAAGGTAAGAGGCTGTGGGGAACCCATGTTGAGTCTCCATCTCTCTCAGGAGCCAAACCCATTCCTGCTGCCCACCATGGAAGCAGAGACCCTGATCCGGAGTGCCAGTCCTCCACTGAGCCGTGAGCAGGGCCGCCTGAGTGGTTCCTCACGTGGTGGGGGCCCCCTTCCCCTGGACACGTTCCCCTTCGACGAGGCCTTGAGGGATATCACAGCTGCCCGCCCCAGCTCCATGCTCAGCCCTGTGCCCAGTCTTCCAGATCCTGTCACCTACCATGGACAGCAGTTCCTGGATATCAAATTGACAGAGCGCAGAGGTGGGGCACTGAATGGGGCTCAGGGAGTGAGAGGGGGAGTCTGTGTATTCTGGGAGGAAGCACTATGGCAACTACTAATGTTGGCAATCCACAGAGCTGGAGCGCCAGATGAAGATGGAGAACCTATTTGTCACCTGGCAGCAGCGATCCGCTCCCGCCAGCATGCCCATCAGTGTGAGTAATCCTGAGATGTGTCCCTGTCCCACGTCCCACAAGAAGATTCTATGACGCTTCCTGACCACTGCTCTAGTGCTCACTTGTCTATATACCCAGGCAGGGGAGCTGGAAACCCTGAAGCAGTCGTCCCGCCTAGTGCATTACTGTGCAACTGCCCTCCTTTTCGACCCAGCTGCCTGGCTACATGGGCCCCCAGAAACTTCTGGGCCTCCTGAGGGCCAGGTGAGGCAAAAGACTCCAGATTCTCCTACAGGGTCTCCCTTAACCCTGTAGTGACACCACCCCCCGACTCTTCCACTTTCTGGTAATGTGGTTGGCAGTGAACAGAGCGTACCTTAACCTTCATTCTTGCAGCGACGCCATCGTCCTGAGTCAGGATCTGGGAGCCGAGAGGTGCCCTCAGGCTGTGAGTCCTCTGATGTGCCTCCACCCGGAGCCCGTGAGGAGCCGTGGCTGAAGGAACTGAGTTTATCTTTCCTGCAGCAATACGTGCAGTATCTGCAGAGCATAAACTTTGTGCTTGTGCCTCTTCGGCCCCCCTCACCTGCCCGCAGGTGAGACAGCCCCTCCTGGATGGCAGCTTGAAAAGAGTACAGAGGTTAGGTCCTGAGTTGGGCAGGAGAGGCCCCCACAAGCCTGTCTTCTGTTCATATACATCTCTTGACAACTTGGGTCTCATTCTTCTCACAGGATTAACATACTTGAGAATCTTACACACTTCCATGCAACCCTCATGCATGTCCTGCAAACTTTGTACAGCTGTGGAGCTCAGGCCCACATATTGTACAGAGAACTCTGCATGTTCTCATAAAGCTTATGCCCAATTACATCTTATTTGTTAACATGCTTTCTGCATTCACACATGTGATCTCTTAAGCTTTTGGGCCTGGGCCTTAACAATTTCTGTCCAGATCATCCCACTGACTTTTCCTGGTGGGGTGTCTGGTTCCTGGCCAGAGGAAGTCCTTTTCTCACCAAGGTTTGCTTTCTCATCAAGGACTTGTTCTGCTCACATCACTTCCTCAGAGTCTTGTTTACTCACTCAGCCAGTTCTCAGCTATAAGAGCTTCTCAGAGAGACTTTAAACTTTCCATTCAATTCTGTTCTTCCTAAAATCTTGAATTCCTTTTAAAACAAAGGACAGTGGGTTAAAAATGTTTCTAAAGCAAAATGTAAGAAACACTTTTAAGCTCTCCCATGGGCTGTCAAAAGAACAAACAAATCTATCTTGGAATAAGCACAGCCAGTACTCCTTAGAAGTAAGAATGGTGAGGCTGTCTCACATACTTTGGGTATGTTATCAAGAGTGGCCAGTCCTTGGAAAAGGAGACAGATTTATCAGCATGGATGAATCTAGAACAAATTATGCTATGTAACATAAGACAGTCACAAAAAGACAATTATGGTATAAGACCACTATTACAAAAAGCTAAGGAAAGGCTTACAGATGCGGTCAATCTTGGAGGACTAACAGAGCTGAGAAGGGAGGAAGAAGGGAGTTAAAATAGATAAGTTGGGTGAAAGGAAAAGCAATACAGAATAAGGGGTTTATTGTTGTTATGTGCTGTAAAGTCAACTACAATTCATAACAGTCCTTTGAACAACAGCTCTGAACCTTGTCCTATTCTGAGCCAACCTCACCATCTCCACCACACCTCACCCCATTGCCACAGACACTGTGTCAGCCCATCTCATCCAGAGTCTTCCTCTCTTGAGCTGACCTTCCACTCTTCCAAGCATGGTCCTTCTCCAAGCCCTGGCACCTCCTGACAACATGCCCAAAGTACATAGTAAGGAGTTTCAAAATCCTTGTCTCCAAGGAGCAACCTGGTTTCACTCCCTCCAGCACAGACCTGTTTGTTATGTTCAGTACTCTTTTCCAGCACCACTCAAAGTTGTCAATTCTTCCCCTGTTATCCTTAGTCATTGTCCAGCTCTCAGATGCATAATAAGCAGTTGGGAAGACCATGGGTTGGATCTGGCGCACCTTAGTCTTTAGACTGACATTTTTGCTCTTTACCAGTCTGGCAAAGTCCTTGACAGCAGATTTTCCCAGTGCAACTCATCTTTTGATTTCCTGACTGCTGGTGCTAAGGGTGTTGATTGTGATTCCAAGCAAGATGGAATCATTAGCAACTTCAATCTTTCCTCCATCTATCATGATGGTTCGCCATCTATCATGATCTATCATCATAGTATCTATTATTATAATATAAAATGTCTATGAATGTATGGAAAAGCCAGTATGATTTCTAAATCTTCACTCAAAATTTTTAAAAAATAATAGATTGAGAAGAATAACATTTTGTGACACATGGAAATTTTATGACATCGTCCATAAATTTTTATTGGAACACATACAAAAAAAAAAGACATAAGCTTGAAAGTAGAGGGCCAGCAAAAGACCCTCGGTGAGATGATCAGCACAGTGCCTGCAGTGATAGGCTTGCGCACAGCAGAGACTGTGAAGATGGCACAGGATCGGGCAGGGCTTCGTTCTGTTCGAGGGTCACTGTGAGTTGGAGCTGACTCAGTGGCACCCAGCAACAGTGATCACTAGTTAACTGTTAAACCAATTTTCTGCCAAGAGTAAATGCGGCATTTCTTCTGACCTGCGCTTGTGACCTCTAACAAGAAATGCCTGGTATTTAAAGCTGCTCAGTATAAGGAACTGGCCTTTGGTCTTTCTGTTTTGTCTCTTTTCACGGTGCCTTCCCTGCAACTCTTCTCCTTGCCCAGGAAATACTCAAACTGTCATTCCTTGGTCACAAGGGAACATATTTCCTCTCATAAAAAGATGATGGCATCAAGCATCTCCTTGGATTTTCTTAATTAAAACTTGGAAATCTATCTGATCTCCAGCCCACCACAGTATGCAGACCCTAGCATTCCTTTATGAGCTCCTTCCTATATTCCCAACAGCTCTATAGCTCTATCCTCATCCTCCCACTAGTAAGAAGACTGGTCTCCACCTCCTCACTGTTCTTAGATCCTTTTAGAGCAACAACTGCTGTGGAGAGGTTTCCCTCTCTCCTAGCCTGTTCCTCTTCTCTAAAATAATTCTTTGCAAAATGAATTGTGTGTTTGTGATTGTATCCTTCACCGCACTGGCCTCCCTCATTCTCATCTCCTTCCTTTTCTACAGTACCAGCCGGCCTCGGACCATGCCTGTGATTGGAACAGAAGGCCGAGGCTCCTTCTCCTGCCCTAAAACCAAAACAGAGGGGAGCCCCAAGGTAACCTAATATCATATCACCTTCCCCCATAGTAAAACCAGTGATGTCCTTTGACCTCAGTGACTCTGAATGAGAGGGTTGATTCCAGAATGGCACCATTAAATTCTGCACCCCAAGCTGTTCCTCCCTTGCTGGCTGAGGCTAGTGAGCCCCTCATTCCTTGCTCTGAGCCCAGTACTGCAGCTCTTTTTCCTTTCTCCAGAGCACTAGTTCCACAGTTACCACCTACCACCTGCAGCGAGCACTGCCAGGGGGCATTATCCTCATGGAACTGGCTTTCCAGGTGAGCAAGGAGGACCAAGAGCATGAGGAGAGCTAGACTGCCTGGCTCTAACCCTCCTGACCTCATTTCCACCCTCTTTTCAGGGATGTTACTTCTGTGTCAAACAGTTTGCCCTGGAATGTTCCCGAATCCCTATGGGACAGGCTGTCAACTCTCAGGTATGTGATTAGGAAGCTGTAGTGGGGACAGAAGACTGGAATATGGGATTAGATGAGGCTTAGGTGCACTGTGGCCCCACAACCCATCTGGATGGGTGTGTAGGAGGAGTCACGCAGTGGGGAGACTGGCCCAGTGGTTAATCTGGTGCTGTGGGCTAAGTCAGTAGTTATGCTGGTTCTCTGAGTATGCTGGTTCTTTATACCCAGGGGTGGTCCATAACCTATCGCCATCCTGACAGTGACAAAACCCTGATGCTATGGCAGTTCCAAAACTAAAGGCAGTTTTACAGAGAGGATATTTGAGCATAGTGGGTAATCTAGTGTATGGATAGGTTGATGCTGGCCTGTTTTATGGTGAAGAAAGCTTGGCATTGTCAGTATAGTCACTGACACTTGGGATGAGGAGCAGAGTCCCCACCTGCACAGCTTATGGCACAGAGTTAACCTTACTGCTTTGTCATTATTCATGTCTGTTGTCAGCCTCTCTCTGTGGCAGCACCTGTGTACCCCAGGAGGGTCAGGCACTCAGGAGTACACAGAGTAAGTCAGAGGACCTAGGAAGATCAGCGATCCGAACCCTTTGTGCCTGAATCAGTTTCACTCTGTTGTGTCACCAGGAATATCCTGATAGAACACATGCCTTCTTTGTGCCTTGCATTTCATTTCTGAGATGTCAGGGTCTGACTGGGTCCAGCCTGCCCTCCTCCAGTCTAGACATCACAGACCACTCTCCTTTGTGTGTAGAGTTCTCACTCTGGACAGTTCATATCTAACCTGTAAGACCATAGATGGTTGGTTGCCTTAGACTTAGTTGTGTGGCTTACCTGGTCTAGTCACCACACGATGAAGTGACCCAAAGCACGGTGACTGTGTGCAGAAGCCTGCCTAGGCCACAGTGCCCAAAAGGAGCTGTGAATGGGCAGGTATTCTTCCACACGTTCCTGGTATATTAGAGGTAAGCACCAACCTCCATTACTCTCTTAAGGCTCCTGGATTCTTGGTTCCATGTCCCCTGGTCTCCATCCAACTTGGTTCTCTCCGCCTGCACTTACTCTCCAGGCTTACTTAGATTTCTAAATTGTTTATTGCTGTTGTTTATTAAACAAATTAGACTAAGCCCAGAGGAAAGTCTTACTGTGGATAGATAAGGAAACTGAGGTTCCAAGAGGTGAAGTGATTTCTGTCCCAGAGCCCAGTTAATCAGTGGCGTGAAATCTAGGTCTTTATGATTCTGAGAGTAAGCCCTGTTTATTTCAGTTTACCGCCCTGCCTCTAGCTTTATGAAACCCTTATATTGTCTCCACAAAAGACGAAAAAATTGAAACACAGAGAAACTGTGGCTTACCCAAGACCAAAGAGCTAGTCAGACTCCTAGGCTACAGGATCCTTTTTTTTAAAAAAAAACAAACAACTTTTTTCTATTCTAAGAAAAGTTTACAGGAAGGTTGGGCTTTCATTCATTCATTGTTGCACATCCCCTCCCCCAGTCCACTTTGCAGTGCCCTCTTGTTCCAGATTGTTGTCATACATATAATGTCTAATCATATATTCCTTTCCGACAGTTCTTCCCCTCATCGGTTCCAATGCAGTGTTCATTTCCTTTACTCTCACATGCTTTTAAGGGAGTGGTCAGATAGATTCTACCATTCCAGATGTTAATGCACATTCAAGAATGATTCCATCAAAAGGAGTCCCGGCTCCGTGTCTTTGTCTTTCCTCTTCCATCCATGACACACTCCTTCACAGAGAAGAACCACCCTGACCTAACTTTGGCAAGAAGTTCCAGATGAAGCTTTAAGAGTGAGTCTAGAAGAACTGAGATTCTGTTTCTGGTAGTGGAAAATCTAGCAGTTGTTACCAGTGATGCTTGAAAAGGATGATTAGTGTAATTAACTAAATTTTGTTGCTCAAGTCAGAACTGACCCATAGTTGAACCTCCAGGAGATTTTCAGAGGCAGTTAAATCACATGGGAGGAGAATGTCCATCTCTCTCCCATGGAGCAAGTAGTGGATTCAAACCACATGCCTTTAGGTTGCTAGCACAGCTCCTTAACACTAAGCCAACAGTGCTCCCTTAATTAAATTATGCACATGAAAAATGTTGAGTAGGACAATTTGGGATATAGAGGGACCTCTAGTTGCCTAATGGTTAAGGAGTTGCACAGTCAAAGCCAAGGCATGCCATTCAAACCATTAGCTGCTCCTTGGGAGAAAAATGGGCCATCTGTCTCCTCTCGGGCAAGTTTACTGCCTCTGAATACCCACTGGAGGGTTAGCTGTAAGTTGGTTCAGACTAGATGGCACACAACAACATGTGATACGTATTTTTACAACAGTAAAAGAAAAAACAAAAGGAATGTTTGAAAAATGACCCAGAGGTCAGGGTGAGCAGCATTCCAGTCAGAAAGAACATACACAAAAATGTGGAGAGACTATGTCATGCACCTGGGGAGAGCAAGTATTTGATGAGAAGATAAAAGTAGGGATATGAGACGGGACCAGGAGAAATCAGTAGTTGGAAAACATGGGCTTGGTGACAGGAATGAAGCTGGAGATAGAATGATTGAATTTTGTACAATCAAGGACTTATTCATTGCAAATACATTTTATAA